GGCAAAGCAAGAACCCGGGTGGGGGGACAGCGGCTGGGGACAGCGGGACTTGTAGGGAATTTGGGAACTGCACTCGAACCCCCCTGCAAGCAATGCCTGCAGCCCTGGGGGATGCCTGTCCTGCACTGGCCACCACAAACCCTGTCACCCGCTGCAACGTAGCCTTTCGTCCCTCCCAGGCCAGACTCGGTGCCCAGGCCAGCGCCTCCCCCAACCTGCAGCCCACGAAGCTCAGGTCGGGGGGGGGCTGCTCCCCCACTGCCAGCTGGGCTGCAGTGCCAGCGGTGCCACCGCTGCCATGGCCCTCGCCCCAGGGAGCAAGGGAGGACCTCTGCTCCCACCTAGCTGGATGAACGCCGAGGAAGGTGGCACGGGTTAAAGTCCTGCTAGGGCTGCCCATGGTATGGCCGCGCTTGCCTGCAGGCAGCGGAGGTGTGAAGCCCTGCAGGCAGCCTGACGCTCCGAGCCTGCTCGACGGCAGTGGCATTTCACCGAGCCAGTAGTCACGGCACGGCCGGGTCACACATTGCCAGGCTCCCACCAGGGCTCACACCGGCACAGCGGGGCTCACCGGGCGATAGCCATTGCTGCAGGGAGCAGCCTCAGTGTGCTGAGGCCCTGGCACAAGCAGGGATGTGCAGGCACTGCCTTGAAGCCCTGCCCAGCACACGGGTGCCCATGTGTGCCCTGCACTGGGGGGCTCATGCTCACACTCGACCTGCAGCCCCGGGCTCTCGCTGGGGGCTGCCGTTTACCCACAGCGCTCCCTGCTCAGCCCAGCTCCTGCCCCCCGCACCCCGCTGCCCAGGGTGGGCTGGATGAGGCTGGGCTGGCCCAGCTGCCGTGGCACCAGCAGGAACATCGAAGCCATGGCTTTCCATGGGCTTGGAGCCTCCTCTGCCCCACTGCCCCAGCCTGGGCGTCCCAGCACTGGGAAGACCCAGGTCCTTCCTCAGACGTTTGATTCCCTCCTGTGCCAAGGCATCTTTCCCAGCATTCCCCAGTGCCGGCGTTTTCCCACGCCTCCCTGCACCCTCCCAGCAGTCCAGCCCCATGCATGCCCAGTGTGCCCGCTCGCCAATACCAGCTGCACCTAAGGGACTAATGCCCTTTCTAGAGAGGCCACCGTGCCCCTCGGTGCCCCCTGCTACTCGCCCGCTCCGCCACTGAACCCTGTCATTCCACAGATACAAGCACTGGGAATGGGGCAGCATCGCTCCTGCTGCCTGCAGAGCCACCGCGCTCACACCGGGGTTGGTGCCGGCAGGGCCCCACGCTGCCAAGGTCCCTCTGGCGCGACAGACGCAATGCACCCACGCGCAGGAGTCCCGTCCGGGGCCGGCAGCACGACCCAGGCAGGAGCTGGCGGCAGTGCTTGTCCCATGGCGAGAGCAGCCGGGGAGCCAAGCCACCACCATGACTCTGCAGATCCCCGGAGGAGCGAGGACCCCGGGGTGCTCGGCCCCAGCACCCAGCATCCCGCCTGGCCCCGGCTGCAAACCCCAGAGCTGTCCCAGCCCTGGGGCAGCGCAGGAAAATCTGGTTTCAAAGGCACTTTCCTATTTGGATGCTGGGCCCTGAGCAAGGGCGGCTGCAAGCCGGGGGCAGACAGGGGCCGGGGGGAGCCAGCGTGGGCAGCCTGTGCCTGCTCTCCTAATTAGCCTTTCTTCTTTGTTAAGCCATACCCCTCCACCGGCTGCCTGTAATGCTTTAAAGAATGATAGATACTAAATCTAATTTAATCCACTCATTCACCCATCACTATAGTACTAAAATAGGAATATACCTATAAAAAGAGCATCACCAGGCAGTGTAGGCCTAAATTACAGCTATTGTGGGAAAACCAGTTTGCAAAGCTAAAATTAATGTCAGTGTTTTCAATATACTAACAAAAAGGAAAACATGTTTTTTGCAGCTTTAAAGCCTGTCCTCCACCATGCAAGCAAGGCGGCCGCTGCAGTGCGGGCGCTCGGCCGGAGCCGGGAGCCGCTGTGCCGGGTCTCACATCCATGCAACGCGCAAGCGGGGGAGAAACCAGGTTTGAAACGAACTCACTGCTGCAACACGCTACAATATTGCTCGGAATAGACTTGCTCCCTAAAAATATAATATGCTAAACTTGGCAGCAGCCCTTTTAGAAAGGAATTTTCCAAGCAGCCTTTCACAGAGGCTGTTTCCCAGTGGGCTGGGTGCTGCTCAGCTGAGCCTCCTGCGCTGCAAGCTGGGCAGCGTGGTGCGACCACGGGCACCGGGGACGCCCCTGGCGAGCAGCACCCAGGGGCAGCTCTGTGGCGGGTTTCAGCCCATCTGTATATCAACCTGTACTCACATCCAGCCCCGCACGCACATCACTGCCTGCGCCCAGGTCTGCGCTGTGCTCCAACGCTGATGCTGAGCCTCAGAGCCCAGGCCTGCTTCAGGTCAGCACCGTGCCTCGTCCTGGAGCGATTAGCTGCTTGCTTATAATTACAGCGGTGACACTTTTTAAGCAGTGACCGGTTCCTCTGTTAATGAAACACAGCCACCAAAGTGTCCCCCTGCGCCCAGGTCCTTGCTGAGCAAGAGCTAAACGTCACCGTCAAGTCCCACCAAAGGACACCGTGCTCCCACCTGTCCCGCCAGCGCAGGCTGCTCTGCCATGGGCCCTCCTGGCGCCCCGGGAGCCCCGCTCCTGCCCCAGCGCTGGAGCACGGCAGGGTGGAGGGCAATTCCTGCACGCAGCGCGGCTGCACTGCGTGGAGTGCCGTGAACCACAGCTCCTGCAGCTAGGACTGGGGCGGCTGCGCAGCTGCGCGGGGGGAGCCGAGCTGAGCAAGCTGCAAGGTGCCTGCAGCCACTTGGATGAGCCATTCGCACCACCAGAGCCCGTTGGCAGATGGACTTTCCCTGGTGCTGGGCTAATTGAAGTTTTGCAGACAACTTCATTTCTTGGTCATTCCTTCAAATACCAGCACTGTCAAAAATGCCAGGGCTGGGGAGCTACGAAACACGAGTAGCCTCCTCGCAAACAAATACAGCAAATGCCAACAAGTTCCCTGTGGGGAGAGCACATGCCTGAAGGGGATAAGGCCAGTTACTGCACGCAGACCCCGTGGCCCCCAGCTCTTGGCCCCCTTGGCTAGCCCAGCCAGACACCCGTCCTGGCGCGGGAGGAGTCGGTGGCCAGCATGGGTCCCTGCAGCCGCGGGGCTCAGGCACCATCCGCACGCATGTGCCCACCATGGCCATCTGCCTCCCTACATACACCCACACTCCGGACAGGGAACCACAACCCAGAGGGTCTAAACCGAGCCCCCCACAGACCCCACGTCACACCACCTTCGGGGAGAGTCAGTTAAACCCCTCCAGGCTTCTTTGGCCACGCAGGGGTGAGTTGAGCTGGCTGGCCAGAAGCAAGCTCCAGAGCGGGCACGCGCCCACAGGAGCAGCATTGCTCCCTGCGCACTCCTCCAGCGCAGGCGTGCTGAAGGTGTGAAGGTCCAAAATCCAGAGCGAATTCAGGGCTGAAACACCAGGTGCCAGGCAGGCCCATTGCTCAGCTGGGCAGGATGAGGAGCCCGGCGGCAGTGTGTGCCCTGTGCCCCTTCCCCGTGCGATGGCTGCCAGTGACGTCCCTCTGCCTGACGCCTTGTTGCAACACGCACCAGGAACACCCCGTCCCCAAGCGCTGGGCGCAGAACCTCAGCAAGGGACAAGCCCCGGGAAGAGGACGGAGGTTTTGGCCTCTGTTGCGCTCATTAGCTGGGTGAAAATCCAACTCCAAATCTCTTAATAAAATCCTCCTTCCTGGCTTGTGAGTCCAGACCTGCTGCCAAGGAGCAGGAGGCTTCTGGGAGAGTGGGGAGGAAGAGACGCTAAACACGATGGCCAAATTAAAACAAACAGGGCGATGGGGGAACCAGGAGCTGCTGGGTACAGAGAGCCACACATCGGGGAAAAGCTTCTCCTTCCCAGGGACCCCAAACTCCACTTGTGCACAGCCCAGCTGGGCACCAGCAGCAGGCAGCCCACGCCTGCCCGCAACGCTGCCGGCCCCTGCTGCCTCCAGCCGCAGCCCCAGGAGCCGGCAGGCAGCGCAGCTGGTCCATGCCGGAGTGCTCCGCAGGGTGAGCGGCGCAGCCAAGCCCCTCGTGGTGGCCAGGGGACGAGGGGATCCCAGCCGGAGAGGGAAATCTCCCACAGTGCTGCCCGCTCCCAACAGAGGCTCCGGGCCCCACGCCGGCTGTTGGTTCAAAGCATCCATGCGCTCCCTTCAGAGGGACAGAAAACCTCCCGGGTGACGGGTAGGGGCTTGGGGACGGTTTCTGCTCGGTGTCGGATGTGCCTGGGCAGCCAAGCAGTGGCTGCGGGGACCTCGGCGCAGAGTGGGGAAGCCGAGACCGAAATCCAGCCCAGCCCCAGCTCTCCCCAGCCTCTGCCTGCAGGAGGATGCAATAAATTACGCACCCGTCTTGGCTGGCCTCTGCAGCAGCCCCCGCGCGAGCCCCGGCCCCATGCGCACCCCGCGGCTGCTGCTGCACTTGTATAACCAGTGGCAGCACCAGCTTTGCCAGTCCCATCTCCAGTGCACCGGCTGGAGCAACCCTGGGCCTTGCCGTCCCCACTGCCAGCGCGGCCACGCTCTGGCCGCAAGCCCTCTCAGACACAGGCTACAGACATCCCGAGGAACCGAAACGCTCCCCAGCCTTTCCCCACTGGGGCGAGAGGGTTTGCGCCCGTGCCACCTGTCCTCGGCTGCCGGGTGAGCTGCGCAGGCCATGCCGAGCGCGGTGAGGATGCTATGAATTTTTAAACTCCTGAAAGCACAAATGGAGCAGTTCGCCTGGCTGGGAGATGGGATTTCCGACGCAGCAAAGAGGCTTTTGAAGAAAACGCTGCCTCTCCCAAGCTGTGCTTCCCCCAGGACGACGAGCCCGGAAACCCGGTGCACTGGGTCCAGCGTGGGACCCCAGGGCAGCCCTGCGGGACAGCACGCCCTGGCCAGAAGTTAAGGACCAAACCGGTGGCCTGGGCACCCTCTGGCCAGGCTGCCTGGTCCTGGGGCTCGCCTGGACCTGCCGCCCCCCTGGGTCCCTCTGCAGCACCTTCCTGTCAACAGCGAGACAAACCCACGCACGCTCGACCCCATGGCCTGGCTGCAGACACGCACGACATGACAGCATACACACACACACACACACACACACACACACACACACACACACACGTGCACACATGTGTGCATGCACAAGCTCATCACCTTCTTCCCAGAGGCCGCTCAGACCACGCAGGAGCCTCATTCCTTTATCCGAGCATCCATCATCACCCTTCGCCTCTGCTGAACGGCAGCAGCGCCGAGGCTGGGAAAGCGCTGGACCCATGCTGGTGGCTCTGCCTGCCGCACTGCCCGCATCTCAGCCCGCTATCCAGCCCCGGTCGCGCTCCCAGCCGCCTCAGCAGAGAAACCGGAGAAACCCCAAAGGAATCACGGCCGAGGACCACGAGCCACCACTGCAACGCAACTCGCCGGTGCCGCGGGGCTGGTGCTGGAGAGGCCCCGTGGCTGGGGAGGAAGCAGTTAAGCTCTGACCCTCCGCCAAGAGGGAACCAGCCAGAAACACGTGTGAACCGGAAAGCAAAAAAATCCCCCGGAGAGGGTGACTTACCTGTTGGAGGTAGAGGAAGGTTGGAGGACAGGGGAGAGAGTGAGGAAGCATGCCTGAGTTGGAGACAAGGAGGCAGCCCGAGTTAGCCATGGAGCACAGCATGTGTCGACAGGTAGCCGTGAAGCTGCTCGCGGGTCTGTCCTCTTCCGCACACCGCTATCCTCGTCTTCCCGGCTCGCCCCTCGGGCTCTCCCCTCCTCGGCCGTCCCTCCCGACCCCTCGGCGCTAGTTAGGAGGGATTCATCTGCGGCAGGCCGGCTGCGCCGCGCGCCCCGGGAGCAGCGCTCGCCTGTTCACTTCGGTGCCATTAGACACTGGCACTGAGCGCACGGTCTGCAAAGGGTGTGTGTGAGCCAGAGCGGGAGCGGGGAGAGAGAAAGGAAGGGGAGGAGGAAGGGAGAGAGGGCGAGGGAGCGAAATAAAAGGGGTGGGAGTTGGAGGAGGAGGGGGAGTCCCCTGTGCATTCAGACATCAAACAGAGCTCTGTATAAAATGAAGAGAATCCGTAATGACATGAGAACAGCTGATCCCGCACTTAACCCCTCCGCCGCCGCCGCCGCACGCAGATGGCTTCCCCGCCGCCCGGGTAGCCCCGTCGCAGCCCCCGGCCACGCGTTGCCACGCCGGGGAAGCAGGCGGGCAAGATGGGGCCGAGCAGGCAGAATCGTCTCCCTTCCCGGCGCTGGCTCCCAAGGGAAGAAGGGTCTTACCAGGAGTTTCGGTGATGCAACACGGGCACCCCGGGAAGCCGTGCTTAGCAGCCGGCACTTCCAGCCACGCAGCCCCCACGATGGCAGCGCCTCGCCGCCACGCCAGGCAGCCGCGGGACTCCCCCACGCACACACAGCCGGACACGTGCACACGCACCACGCTCTCCTCGGGAGACACACATGCAGACAGGGACAGCCGCGCTAGCAGGGACGGGCAGGGAGCCATGCAGCAGAGCCAGCTCCGCCTCCCTGGAGAGGCACATACCTGCTCACGCCTGCAGCCCCGCAGCACGCATGGCCCCGGCAGCCACGCACTGTGCCGCCACGGGCTCGTGCCACGGCAGGCAGGGCCAGCAGCCCGCCAGCCTTCCCTGTGAGAGGAGCCATGGCCGCAACCTCGGCACTGCCTGCACTCCTTGGGTGCCAGTGGCTTGGCCCTGCCAAGCGCAAAGCCATGTGAGCCCCAGGCAGGGCCTGCTCCCAGCAGCCTGTGAGCCCCGCCGTCTGCCTGCCAGCCCCTGTTGGCAAGGGGGGCTTGGGGGACCCCGGAACCCTGGGGTGACACACAGGGGCCATGCCCGCTGGCGCTGGCTTCTCTATGCTCCCCAGAGCAATGGGGACCCCCTGGCCTGAGCACCTCCCACTGACAGCGGGCAGGGTGCTGGCCCCGGCAGAGCTCAAGAGGCTTTTTGGCATTTTGGACTGGCCTGCAGGTGCTGCCAGCAGCCCTGACGCATCAACGCTGCGCACACCTCTGTCACAGCTGCCACGGCAATAGCCTACATGCGGTGCCCGCGAGGGACAGCGGGTGTGGGCACACACGTGTGCTCATTTGGGTTCCCGGTCCCACCTCGTGCCTCCTCCTGTCACGGCACCACGACAGCCCCGGCACCCTCAGGTGCTGCAGAGCTCAGTGCTGGCACAGGGGTCCCTGCCCCGGTGCCCCGCACTGCCGGCGCTGCATCGCGCCTGACGTCAGAGCCGTGGCCAGCAACAAAGCAGCCGGGACGGTGTTGTGCTTGGGTATGTGGGAAATGAAACCTGGGCTCAGTTCAGTTTCCATCTTGGCCAAATGTGATGCACAAAGGCAGGTCTGTGCCAGCAGCTGCTGATGCTCCGTCTCCTCCGGAGCCTCCAGCACACGAACAGCCCTATTCGGAGGCTGGGATTTTCCACAGTATCCCCAGACATAGCGACATGCTGCAGTGTCCTGGTACACTCGCAGCGGTTCCTGTTTCTGCTGCAGATACTCAACAGCAGCGGTGTGGCACGGCCGGCCCAGAGCCACCAGGCAAACCTGGTGGAAACAAACAGCTCTGGGAAAAGCCGTCCTGAAGAAGCGGCGGCCAGGGCAAAGGGGGTGCCAGCCCCTCCACAGGGTCCTGCTGCTGGGGTGACCACACTCCAAAGGGACCGCAAGGTGCCAAATTGGGGAGGGGACGCCAGGCCAGGGGGAGGGTTTCTCATCACCTCCTCCCCACGGCACTCAGAGGCGAAAGGAGTTTGGCAGCAACATCCGCTACCAACAGCATCCTCCGGCCACCGCTCCCTGCGAGGAGCACGGGCTGCAGCGAGCTCCCATGTCCCACCACAAAGACTTGCCCTCCAGCCCCAAGGGACCACGAGGAACCCGATGCAGCAGTCCATCCTGCACACCTCGATGCTCAGACCCCGTGCTCCCCGCTCGCCTCCAGCTCCCCTTCCCCAGGGGCTCCCGTGGCCCTCCCTGGTGCTGCGCTCTCCCACATGCTCCAGTGCCCAGGGCAGGACATGGAGCAGCTTTGCAAGGGCTGGGGGACAAGCACGTCCCTCCCAGAGCCCCTCGGGCAGCTGTGGGGAGAGGGACCCCACCAGGCACCCACATGCACCCGAGCACCACACACCACCCTGGCGCAGGGTGAGGGACATGCTGGGCAAGGTGACAGGCAACTCCAAAGGCTTTGGGATGGTCTGGGCTCCACCACAGCTCCTGCACTGCTCTCAGGCGGAGGTGAAAAGGGAAGGGCATGGCCCAATGCTCTGGGCTTGCGGTGCCCAACCAAGCGAACCACGTGAGCCAGGAGCCGGCTCCAGGATGAGGTAATCTGCCCGTCCTCCCCCACGCCGGAGCCTGGCTCCAGGCAGGGTGACTCAAAGGCGCTCCTGGCCGGTGGCAGCGCCACAAGCCCTGGCACTGCCCCGAGCCAGCAGCTCGCGTCGTGGGAAGGTCCGGGCTGGCTCCAGCCGCAGGGCAAGGAGAGACACTGTTCTCCTGCAGGGAGAGTGCACGGAGTGACGTGCTGGGCAGATACCCTGGCCTCGACCCCTCCGGTGCAGACCCTCTGCATCGCTGTCAGCGGCAGGAACTGGCCATGTTTCCCCAGGATAAATACCTCAGCAGTGGGGGAATCGGGCACAGCTCTTGCAGCTGAGGAGCGTTCGAGTCTCCTCTCTCTCTCTTCCAGCCATCACCAACATCTGCCTGGCTGCAGAGAAGCCCCCACAGCACGGGGAGCCCCCGTGGGACACCTGCACGGCTGGGCTGTGCCAACATATGGGCTGGCTTCAGGGTGGGGAACACTTCCCTGGCCACCAACGGCTGATTTCCCTCGCCCTGCTGCTCCCAGCCGCCCTGGCCGGTGATGTTGTGCTGCAGCCCCGGCTGATGACACCGGTGGTGGCACCCGGGCCGGAGGAGCCCTGGTCAGGGCTGCCCAGCCCCGCGGAGCCGCAGCTTCGGAGGAACCCCTCCAAAACTGAAGTCTCCTGGAATGAAAGTTTATTTATCTGTTTAATTAAGACGTGTTCACCAGGCGCACAGACCCCATTCCATCTGTCTCACTTACAGCCGCGTCCCAGTAAAATTAAACCTAATAAATATCAGACAAGGGAAAGCAAAGGGCACATGTAAGATATATGATCAAAGGCAGAAGTTGCACAGGGCTGCAGTTCTAAGCACATCTTTCTCTCTGCCCTTCGGGGATGGGTTGGCGATGCGCTCCCATGCACAGGATGGGGCTGGCTTTCCTTCAAATCAGCACTATTTTCATTTTTTATTTATTTTAAATGAACCCTTGAGGGCTCCTTGGTTTTGTTTTCTGGAAGAGGGAGGACAACACAGCACCAGGACAAGAGTGGCCTTGGCTGCTGCTCCGGAGCCCAGCAAGGCGCTGAAGCTGAGGGGCAGAGCCTGTGCTGGGAGAGCTGACAGGCGTGCAGCCCCCGAACCGCCAAGGGAACCCACTGGGGCAAGCACGACCCTGTGGGCTGCTCCCAGGCAGCTGGCATGTACTGGCCACATGCGGTCAGGAGCTGACCTGGTGGCAGAGACCTGCCAGGAGGTGCCCAAGGCGACCGGTGTAGCGCTGCCAGCTCCCGCTCCCGGGGAGATGCCAGAACCACCGGCGCTCAGTTCCCCTCCGAGGCACGCTCACCTCCATCATTTGGAAACTATATCTGACAGAAACAAGGGCTCTGAGGTCTGCTGAAGCCCTGGCCAAGGCTCTGCCCCAGAGCCCGCTTGAACAGCGCAGAGCGGCTGCAGCACATCCCATGCATCCAGCTGTCGCCACGCATGTGGCACCAAGCCCCTGAGCACACATCTGAGGCCCTGCTGCCCACCAAGGGCTGCCCCAAAAACCATGTCCAGCCCCCCAACCCACCCCTCCACGGGATGCAATGGGAAATCCTAGACCCCAGTGCTTCAGTCCTCACTGGGACACCATCCCACATCCTCTCCTGGCAGAGAGGAACAACGCAGTGGCCCACAGACCTGCCAGGGATGCACCAAGGGGACACAATGCACAATCACGGGTAGGCTGCAAGTATCTGGTGTTTAACAGGACCCCTGTGGCATCCCCCAGCACACTTCTGCAGTGCAAAGCCGGGGCACAAGCCCGGACGCTGCTGCTCGGGAGAGCTGCCAAGAGGGGCTGCAGGTCAGGTCGAGGTGCAGCCACCGCTGCGAGGAGGGGCAAGGTTGGGTGCTTCCAGCCTCCGTGGGGTCAGCCTGCAAGCACAGCACCAGCGGCCCTGCAGCACCCAGAGAGCAGGGCACCCGTCTAGTCCTCTCCTCCCACCCGCTCCAGAATGCCCCCAAGCCACGGCATTCATTAATTAAAAGCTCATTAGTAGTTAGTCATAGACATAAAGCGATTAGATGAAGGCGCTGACGGATCTCAGCTGCCGTGAAACAAGGGGAAGGTCCCGCGTGCCCCATTGGCTCGGCTGCAGAGAGTAACCCAACGCTGGGCACAGACCAGGACAGTGAGAAGGAGCCAACAGAGGTGACTGGCGAGAGCACCACGTGCCAGCAGGCTCTGCCCCGCTGCAGAGAGGTCCCTGCCCACCGCCCCAGCACCTCCATGCCATCACTGTGCTGCTGCTCCCTCTGCCTGCGCTCCCCCCAGGCTC